GCCAGCTAGTGTCGAGGTCAAGAAAACATGGGTCTATACAGCCACTCCCCCACACTTCGTCATGGCTTACTGCTTAATTAGTTAAGCATAGGGGCAACTTTACCCTACCTTAATATTAACATTATGTTAACATAAAAACGTCTTACCTTTGCATGTGCCGAGTTCAGAGACTCACACATAACAGTGCTCATATGTTCTGCTCCACCAAGGAATGCTGTTTCAGCAGCAGCAGTTGCTAACTTGTCTACATACTCCATGAAGCTGGTTAGCTCCTGCAAGCATAAACACAGTGTAGTTAGCAACAGATATGAATTCTGTACTTTCAGATTAATTTTCCTTAAAAGAAAAAACAGAACATTTTCTTAAAGGAAATCTAGTGATACTGCATAATAATATGACAAAATTTTATATGGAGAGTGTAATGATTTTCTACTCCACTACATGACGGTCACCATCACTATCAGCATTCAGTTTACTGCAGTATTTGGTGACAATAACAGCAATATTTAACATAACAAACCAAACTTGGAAAAATTATGTATAAATCTTCAAGTCAGTGACATGAAACAAATAAATAGTTTGGGGACGGAGAATTCCCAATCATTTTGTCTCCATCATTTAACCCTCCAAGTTATTTCCTTACAATCCCACAATTAATTTATCACCATATGAGTGTTAGAATAAATCTGAGTGCTTAATACATTGAGGACTGGTCGCATGATATGATGCTTTTGGCTTTTAAATGTGGCAGACCGGTCGCATGATATCATGATTTTAGGACATGTTAGGTTGTAACACACTATACCTTGCCCTGGCGCCACCAGGTGTGTAATAAAACTTGGAATGATTGTTTAGTATTCAGTAACATGACCTCACTGTTTTCTTAACCCTCACTAAAGGAAAATACTTTGCCTGTCTTCAAGTTGTATATATCAGCCAGTAGTTAGTGGTTCAAGGACAAATTCTTCTACATGAGCTAGCTTGGTGACTCAGACAGTGGCAGTGACAGGGGACAACAAAGAATTGTGGCCACAGACAGAAACAGTGAAAGTAGCTCTGACGAAAATGAGGGCAGGACCATTGTGGGGACAGCAAAAAATGTTTAAAAAATCACAAAAATCTAAACCCTCATTCAAAATTGAACTACAAAGCAGTTCTGATGAATGTGGCAAAGGCCTGGGCTACAGACCAGATGGTGGCAGCAGAATCAGAGTCAGACACAGACTCAGAGCGACCGGGCCCATCAACTCCCACCCCACGCAGGCCTCATGTGGACCCCCCGCGGGCGACTCTTGGATGATATGTGGAAATATATCCTCATGAAAATTGTGAAGAGTGAGCATTCCAAGGGGAAGCATCCTTCTAGGCAATGCCGTGTTTGCACAGTTCACAAAAAAAGAATATGTCCACACTGCAAGTTCTGTGTAATACCACTTCACAAAGGGGAATATTTCCAGAAATATCACACTCTCAAGCACTTCTAGGAGCATTGGTAAGTGTTCTCCATAAATTTTAGTTCATAAAATTAATTAGGAGATTTTATATTAATTTTTAAATTGAACAGTGTACAAGTTAGGACAGTAGATTTAATAATGGTGGTCCCCAAGGGTGATTTTAATACAGTAAAACCTGCCTTAAACAGACCCTTTATTAAACGGAAATCTGTCTTAAATGGAAATAATTTCAGGTCCCTTGACTTTGGGGCTGAAAAAGATGTTAAATAACCTGGATTAAACGGAAACTGTCTAACGCGGACAACGGAAATCAAAATAAGCCTTTATACGGAGAATTTCCGGTCGTCCGGAATGCATCATTTAGAATAATTTAAGCATCCTATACATATTACAGAATTTTGTTTTCCCTAACTCTTTAAAATAATAAATACAAATCACTATGTCCAATGTGACATATATAAGTTTTTACTATGTGAAAACTTATCTCCCTTACATGTTTCGGTCCTTACGGACCATCTTCAGAGGGAACATCATTACAAACTGGAAACTACCATCACAAATAGGTGTTTTGATTTAAAATACATACACTTATATACTATAAAGCACAGTATGCCTAAAGTCGAAACATTACACAATCACAGCAGCTTCCAGGTATTGTAAAGTTTTTAAAAAATTCTAGATGTCATTTAGAAACCATTATTGTCAATAGTTAAAGTTTTTTAAACCACGTAGGTTCGTGTCCGTACTCCTATCTTCCTTCTTGTATGTGGCAGGTTTTGTGCCACCTGTCTATCTTGGTGAGGAGGTTCTTGCTGTCGTCCGAGGTTTGCTCGTGGCTAGCTGTGTTGTTTTCACTGTTCACATTGGACGGAGTGATTTGTATTTATAATTGTTAGTGTGACGGACCAGAATGAAACAAATCAAATCTTTAAAATAAGCTTCAAATGGTACTGCACTACCTGCACTGAGATTCAGCAGAATTGTTTTCCCCTTCTGGAAATTGTATTCAGTAAGGGCTCTAGGCCTACAATTTTACTTTAGTCTAGCAGTTGTCATCATGGCTACAAAGACAAGAGTTGTGCTTGATCTTAACACAAGATTAAAAGTGATTCATGCAAATGAACGAGATAAATTGTCTGTTAAGCAGATCATGAAGATGTTTAATGTCGGTAAAACTCAACTGTATGAGATTCTAAAGAAGAAAATGGAAATTTTGAAGCGGTGGAAAACTTGTGCTAATGGAAAAATAAAAAGAGAACTTAATCTTTAAGGGACGGGCCATTTCAATTCTGGTAGTGGTAGCGGGACGGAGTTAATTTAAATGCCCGCCACTGTAGAGTAATAAAAATTGTAATCATGTTACTCAAAATGCCGTGATTTCTACAATTTTTGTGATAAACGAACGAAATAAACGCTGCTTTTATCTAGAAAGAATACAGAATCAGATATTGTAATTTACAGATTTTAGAATCTGTAAAAATTGTTACACTGATTCCAAAATTTTTTTTTTTCCACCAATTTTGAGTGTCTGTCCACAAATATGTGGAAAGTTTCTGCAGTATAAATGCATGCTGCAAGACATCCAATCTTCCTGTCTTATCTTTCTAAAGGGGAGGAAGCTAATGTTTGTATGGCACATTCTCCAGTCACGTCGTAACCTTTCTACTATTGCACGAGTGGGCACAAAAGTCTTATCGTACTTTGTACTTCAGAAACACTGCATGTTTATATCTCGGGCTAGCCACACAGAGGTACTCTTCTTGGAATAGCCCTGCAATGCCTTTCAGTTTCGTCTGTACCACATTCTGAATCGGTGAGATTTATGAGCGGCCTTCAATCTCGGCTTCTTCCATGCAAAATGGAGCCATGTTGGATAGTTCAAATTGCGATGTTTTATAAGCGTTATGATTCTGTTTACATCTCGGACTAAACACACAGAGCTACTGTTCTTGGAATGCCTTTCAGTGTCGTCTGTAACGCATTCTGAATCGGTGTAATTTATGAGCAGCCTTTTCCATGCGAAATGGGGCCATGGTGGATAGTTGAAATTGCAATGTTTTATGAGCGATATGATTAGAATTGTCCTTCAGAAACCCTGACTGTGCATATCTAGAACTAACCACACAGAGATACTGTTTTCGGCATGACCCTGCACTACCAGAACGTTCTAGCCTAGCGCGTTGTGTTGTGAATAAAACATTGCAATTTAAACTAGCCAGCATGGCCTGATTTCACTTGGAAGAAGACGAAATTGAGAAGCAGCTGATTATTGACACCGATTCAGACTGCGGTACAGAAGATTCTGAGCGATTCTGAGAGTGGCGAGGAAACAACGGGCTCAGAACCTGAAGTCGACGTAGACCCATCATCTTTGTCAGCAACCTGGGGACCACCACACCAGCATGGCAGGAGGCATGTGAATAATTATTCTGGTGGAGCTGTGGGGTTAAATATCAATGAAGCTCCACACGTAAATAAGGATTCCACCCCTTTCTGAGTTTTCATGCTGTACTTCACAGGGTTTATCCATCTGCTAGTGGAAGAGACGAATAGGTACTACCACCAGTACCTAGACAAACTTCAAGATGGACCTTCTCCGCGGCTGACGTGACCGATTCTGAGATGTTTCTGTTTCTAGGAATAATCATTCAAATGGGACATGACATTAGAGACACACTAAAGGACTTCTGGTCAACTGCAGAACAATCTGCCATGCCTTTCTACTTAGCACAATGAAACGCGACTGTTTTCTACACATTCTTCGTTTTCTTCATTTTGCAGACAACAATACAGAAACTGACAGGAATGCCGATAGTTATGACCGATTATGAAAAATTCGGACCATCTTCGAAGCTCTCAATGATGCATATGAAAAATATTATAACCCTTCCGAACATTTGGCCATAGACGAGATAATTGTTAAATTCAAAGGGAGGGTGGTTTTTAGGCAGTACATTCCTAAGAAACACAAACGTTTCGGAATCAAAATCTTCAAAATTTGTGACGCCGCTGGGTATACTTATGACATGAAGGTTTATCTAGGAAAAGACAGGACACGTGCAGACCAAGACGTGACAGCGACACATGCTACAGTTAGGGACCTATGCAGACGTATTGAGGGCGTAGGTCACACACTGTATATGGACAATTTCTTTTCATCACCAGACTTGTTTGAGGAANTTATGTCGACAAAGCGGACAGAATGGCAAACAGTTATAGCATCAGTTGTCGGACCTGGAAATGGACAAATAAATTATTTTTCCATTTCCTGGATATGACGATTCTGAACAGTTTCATCCTGTTGTCATCCTGTGGCGCGAAATTGTCACACAGAGAATTTCGTCTCGCCCTTGTGCGCAACATGCTGGAACATGCTGCAAGGGGTCCACCTCGCCCTCAACGGTCCAGGGGTCGACCTCCTGCCGTGTCATCGGCGATATCTTGATTAGAGGAGGCCTCTTGACATCACTGGCCGACTTCCTCTACTTCAAGATTGAGATGTAGTGTGTGCTCTTCGCATAGGAAACGAAGTTACATCCAGACAAAATGTGTGAAGTGCGACATTGGACTATGCATTTCCAGATGTTTCCAACAGTTCCACATTAAGGCAACATTCAATTAGATGACGCAGGAGGGAAGACAGACTACTTATAAAGCTGGTGTCCAAAAATAATGTAAGTAGAACAAGAATTTCTATATTAAAATTAGATTTTAAAACATTGTGCGCACGCGTGGACTGCGCATACCCATACGGTGTCTTTCAGCTCATAAAATTTAAGAAAACTGCAAACGAAGATGTTAATGAAATTGTGTGGGAGTGGTTTGTCAGTGTGAGGGTGAAAAATCTCTGGTTGTCGGGTCCTATGGTACAGGAATATGCTAAAAAAAGTCGCTGAAAAACTGGGGAAGACTGAATTCAAAGCATCTTAACGGATGGTTGGAGAGTTTTCGCAAAAGACATCGGATAGTTTTTAATGAACTTTGTGGTGAATCAAGTGATGTAAATAGTGAGACCATTGAGGAATGGGAAGCTAAATTGCCATCCATAATTGAGGAATATGAACCTGAAAACATAGCGAACGGTGATGAGACTGGACTGTTGTTCCGCGCACTTCCGAATAAATCTCTATGTCTGAAAGGTGAAAAATGTTTTGGAGGAAAACTGTGAAAAGAAAGACTGACTGTTTTTCTATGTGGTTTTATGTCAGGTGAAATGGAGAAAATCTTCGTGATTGGCAAGGCAGCAAAGCCATGATGCTTCCGAAACATGGACATACAGAAACTTCCCGTTGAGTGGAGATCCTACAAAAAGGCATGAATGACATCACAGATCATGGAGGAACGGTTAACAGCCTTTAATGGCAGAACGAAAATGCAAAACCAGCATGTTTTGTTGTTCTTGGATAACGCATATGAACATATGAAACTTTCCAACGTGCGACTTGCTTGGTTCCCTCCAAACACCACTAGTGTTCCTCAACCAATGGATCAGGGCATCATTTGGAATGTTAAGGTCCACTATCATAAATTATTAATGCAATCTTTGCTCGTCAATATAGATTCTACATCATCCGCCTCAGAACTTGCAAGAACTGCCTCAGCTCTAAATTTGGTTATTTTGATAAGTCAAGCAGTAAAGAAGTTGTTACCAGAAACTGTGACAAAGTGTTTCGAAAAAGTAGGATTTTCTACGGTAGAAGTTACTCCTAGTGTAGAAAATGAGAATGACCAGAAGGACTTACAACATTGCATGAATGAAGCTGCTTTCAGGAACTGCAATGCTGAGGATTACATCAACATAGACAAAGATGTGCAAACAGAACCAGACACAATGGATATCGATGTATTAGTTGAGAATTTTAGAGAAATTCGAAAAGGAAGAGGAAGAAAAGGAAAATGACATTGTGATAGAAGAATAAAAGTGTAGAGTGAAGACTTATCAGGATGCTGCCAACAGTTGAAAGGTACTGCAGGAGTTTGCCGTGCAACGGAATGATTCAGACATGCTTACTCTAATTTCTCAAGCTAAAGTGTTTGTGGAAAGTCAGGCAGCCAAGAGAGTAAACTGTGTGCAAAAAACTCTGCCGGAGTTCTGGTAAAATTATAAAAGGTGAGTACTGCAATTTTTTCCTGTTCAATGTAATGTTTGCATGTGTTCAATGATTATAGTCTGAATACATTAATGAGCATGTTGCTTTGTTTTGTTTCAAATACGTTTATGTCCTTGTTTAGTTATTATAGTGTACCTTGATTAAATTGAAACCTGGCTTCAGCGGAAATTTGTTCTGGTCCCTTGAGATTCCGTTTAAGACAGGTTTTACTGTATTTAAATCGCCGGTCCGCGATGTGTTAAGTAATATACCTCATAAACACCATGTTCTCCAAGGATGAGGAATATTTTACTCATATTTATTTATTTAATGATCCTATCAGTTTCCCAGAATATATACAAGGCAACATATGCCAAATGATGAATGGGAAAGAATGTGGAAGTAAGAGGTTGTGGCCTATTTTAGAAACTACAGGAAATGTTGTGTTTAACTAATTAAGCAGTATGTCAAGAAGGTGTATGTTGGAGTGGATGTATAAATCCACGTTTTTTGACCTTTCCACAAGTTTGAGGTGAGTGGTCAGCTGACCACTAAACCCCCTGGGAAAGAGCCCCAGGTGCTCACTGGATATGAGGCTGGGTGGGTCCCAGAGCTAGCCTGGACAATGTGGGGAAGAGAAAATTTTTGACCCTCCCGGAACTCAAACTCTGACTACTCGGTCGCCCAGCTCATAGCCAGTCGCTATACCAACTATGCTATCCTGGCTCCTAAATAACATAAAAAGGTAAAAGGTAAAGCTGTCCCTCTGCTTAACTAATTAAGCAGTATGTCATGAAGGCGTATGTAAGAGTGCATGTATAGATCTACATTTTCTTGACATTGGTGCAAGTTTGAGGTGAGTGGCCAGCTTCACACCCTGGGGAAAGAACCCCCGGTGCCCATGGGATAAGAGGCTGGGTGGGCCCCAGACCCTGTCTGGACAGTGTGGGGAAGATAAAATGTTTTACCCTAACAGGACTCGAACCCTGCCCCCTTGGTCGTCCAGCCCATAGCCAGTCACTATACTGAATGTGCTAACCCAACCTAATGCCATCTGCAATCCGACTGTCTAGAAAATGTTGGAACCTCTATGTCTCACAACCTTGTGGGCCTTCACATCCTGTTACAGGGATTTTAGGACCTATTCCATCATTTACTAAGAAGGACTTTGAAAAACCATGGAAACAATCAACTGAGGATCACTGGTGTCTGATGACTCGATCCTAAGTAACTTTGGGTGTTTCCGTAACACTCATCTCTTGACATACTCTGTAACTGTGCAACAGCCAAGTGGTGACTAATAACTGTCACTTGCTGTTTTCACCCATCTATACTGAAAGTGCTATTCAAGTTTCTTCAGGGAGGAGTGAATTGGAACACTGAACTTAGGAAAATTTTAAATGGGGGAATTTATCATGGAGATTATTTACTTGCAATCACTGGAACTAAATGTTAAATGTGGGAAAACTTGAGAACATTAAATGGTGTTTCCAGTGTAAAGTTAAGAGTGTGATCATATCCATACAAAAAAAAAACAAGGTTATCATCTTGCTAAGACAGCAGACAGACATGACAATGACAGAGGTAATATATCACCTGTAACCGCTGCTTACAATCCTCTACTTTCACTCTCATGGCAACAACCTCATCCCATAATTCCAAGGAAGCAGCTTCTGGGCCCTGTGTCAGCAGACACTCATCCATGGTGCACATAAGTTGTTCCATACATTTTCTGTAACACATTCAAGTCCATATCTAAATTTTATAATCTTCAAGGGATGCATCCTGTTGTGCTAACATATATTAAATCAAATGTTTTCTAACCATCAAACAAAACACCTCTCAATACTACCATTCACATTAACTGTGCACCGTGAGTTTATTGATCTTGATTGCTACATGTTTTGGCTAATTAAAGAGCCATCATCAGGCAAGACATACTAATAGCAATATCTTCAACTACCAAATTGCATTCTATATTGATATATGTATTATAGCATTACAATTATTAATATATCTGGTTATGTACATAGTCAATACATTCAACGTTGTGATACAATCATTACTATTACTATTACTTATTAAATAGTAATGACTAAATCACAGTGCTCGGTGTCACTTCAAATCACTCATGAAGTCTCCTTTTTACAGCCTAATTCCTTTCTTGCCATTATTCTGCAGCTGCCAATTCACTTCAATTCCTCCGCTCTCAAGTTCATATCCTGGCAGGCTGGCAACTTGAAACTCAACGCACTTCACTGTAAGACCTCAAATGAACTCTTCTTTATAACCAATCTGCACAGACCATATAGAAAATACACAGCCTCTCTATTGCTGGGAACGTGTCCTTAGAGTGCCATTGCAGAGCAATGGAAGTTACTCAATTGTTGCTCGAGTATTCATTGCCATAGGAATGTGTTTACCGAGTTGCTGCCTGGCAATGAAAGTCTATTCTCATTTCGCTATTCCAGCTTTCTGGCGTCATGTCACAATATGATGATTTTTGTAAATTGTTACAGTGTACTGTAACCCCTCATCACCTGAGGGCACTGTACATCCAAAAGCTTATTATTTTAAAAAACAAATTGTTTCTTGTTAGAATAATTTAAATATTTAAAAGTAATTTAAAATGATGCAAAATGATGCACTCTGCCATGGGGTTCTTCTTGCATACATTTTGTTTTTTGGAATGATGTGTATGTCATGAATGATGTTATTTACATGTGTTCTGGTGGTTAGAGTGTGTGTGTGTGTGTGTGTGTGTGGGCTAGTCCACACACACTGCAAAAAACAATGCGCAAGATATAAACACATGTCTTTCAGAGAAAAGGCACTGGATAGGAGGCTGGATGGGCCCAGAACCATTCTGGATACTGTGGAGAAGAGAAAAATTGCTTCACACTGTTGGAAATTAAATCCTGATTCACTATCCAGCCCATAGCCTAGCTGCTATAAAAACTGAGCTTTTACAACTGCTAATTTGGAACATTTCAGAACCAAAATCCTCATAAATTATTAACAGCTGAAATATATTTATGTTAAAATCCATAAAGAAATACCTTATAAGCCTAATGTATGCCAGATGATTATAATACTCGTATAAATACAAAATAACATTTACATTTAAGTCTGCATATTAAATAAACAGGAGTTATATAAGTCCATGCATCACACTCCATATCTCCTGGACAGCATGGATAAAATGATCAATATCATCAAGTATCATGTATCACTGCTTCTTTAAGAGTTTTCAAAGAAAAATACTGTATGTGTAATTTATAATTCCTGAATCTAACGTTTAATCGTCATGTGACTAACATTAAGGACTTACAAATATGCTTTTCTGTGCAACAGAAATGTGGGAATAAACATTTTAGTTCCTTTCCTTTTTCACAATTAATGGTTCAAAAGGAAAAAAACTCTTGTGAACATATTTCTACCATCTTGTACTTCACATCATTAATTCAATAATTCTTACAACTTGAAATAAACTTCTTCCACATATTTTGGGCAGCTTGTAAAAAGTTCCTGGAATATGCATTTCAAAACAATAAATACGTTTTTAACCCTTACCATTCCCCACTTAGCAATGACAAAGCATGACAAAAACAACCTTGAGACACCTATGTAGGATCTGAGGTGATTATGAAGATTTCCATCTTCTAGGATATAATGCTTAGTAATCCATAAATGTCAACTGATGTTTCAATGGAATGTGCTCCACGCTTATGAGGTCTGACAGTAAAGTTCACCAACTCATCACTGTGTGCTTGCCATGGCAGCAGTGGACAGAAACCTCAGCATGGTTTGATGATGTTAGCATATCAGCGTTTCACAGTCATATTGTTGTTGATCTATGGTAGTCTCTTTCTGGGTGACATCTGTTATTGTCTGAATGTGTTTTGGTGTGCCATTGTGAGAATTAGAATTAGAGCAGTGAACAAATATTAAGTTTCTTGTTAAACTTGGCATGAGTGGAAGCAAAATCAGAGAGATACTAGTGGAAGTTTATGGTAATAATGCCATGATGAAAACAGCAGTTTATGAGTGGATGACACGTTTTTCTGAGGGAAGAGAGAGTGTCACTGATGAAGAGAGATCAGGACAGCCAGCAACAAGGAGAACTAAAGAAAACGTTGCAAAATTTCATCAAATTGTGTGTGAAAATCGTCAGCAGACTGTCAGGAGCATAGCAGAGCAAGCAGACGTCAACAAAGAAACAGTTAGGAAAATCTTAAATGAAGATGAGGAAGTTTTGTGCAAAAATGGTTCCAAAGAGCTCACCAAAGAAGACTGTCTGAGAGAGAGTTTTTTGCTAGTAAACAAATAACTGTGATGGAACACCTTCCCTATTCATCATATCTAGCAACAATGACTTTTTTCTGTTCCTGAAGATAAAGGAAATGTTCAAAGGAAGGCATTTTGATAACACTGATGACATCAGGAGTAATATGACAGCAGCTCTGAAGGCCATTCCACAAAACTATTCGTAGTTCCAAAATTGTCTTGAAGGGGGGACTAGACACGGGCATCGGTGCATAGCTTCAAAATGGGAGTACTGCAAAGGAGACCACAGTGATATTCAGCAATGAGGTATGTAGCACTTTTACAACAATGAGTTTGCGAACTTTACTGTCACATCACAAATGCAAGCCAAATGATCTGCTTGCTGCCTGCATCTGCTGGTTTCTTGCTTGACTTACTCTTCCACCTTAAAGGTGGAGAAAATATGTTCATCTCTGAACTATGTATTGTTTAAGGTGGTTATGAAGAGTTCTACTTTGAACCGTGTCACGGTTCTTTCGGTGTAGGATCTTTGGATTTACCGTCTCTCTCTCTCTGGCAACTACGTATGCTACGACGCGGAGCCGATCCCTTTCCCATCAAGTTCTTTGCATAACCTAGAGGTCACGTGTTTCCCCTTCCCTCTTGTCCCGACACGAGCTACGTTTACAGACAAGTTGGTCTGTGGCTTTTTCCTCTTCGTCTCCGACCGAGAAGGTCGGTTGTGGGAGTTCGAAATTCAGTTTGGTTTTTGATTACGCGTTATGCGTAGAAATTCTGGTTCGGCGCATTGACTACTACAGGAAGAGAGAGAAAGCCCTGTCGAGCCGGCGTGGGGCTGGCTGGCTCGGGAGTTGTGTATTTATTTATTTATTAATTATTTTCCCTGGCTTGTAATATATATTTTATCAAGTAAGTACTTACTGAGAAGTTGGGCGAGATGTTTTAGAACTGCCCTGTTTTTGTGAGAGTGCCAGGAGTTACGTGACTTGTGATTGGTCACTGAGTGCCGCAATGCGGCAGGGGCATTTTGTTGGGATTGAATGTTTGTTTCTTTTCAGCTCTGTTTTATGTATTATTTTGTAATCGGTGTAGTCAGAACATTATGATCGAGTTTCATCTTGGCAACCAGGCTATTTGCGACAGTTTTAACCATGTACTTTCAAGGCTATTGATCAGCCCAGGTCAGTGAACTTAAAAGGGTCGCAACCGTTACTTTGACTGCGGGCAAATTCTGTTTCATTCTGGACTGATGTTTATTTGATTTTTCTACCAGCCCTTCAGGCGAAGCTGTAACATTTTCCTTGTCATATTTGTATGATTTACATTTCTACTCTTTTGTTGCAATATATTTTTATATATTTGAAAAGCCAGCTGGATTGTTATGATTTCTTGTACTCTGCTGAAATACTTGTACTGCCCAACGCCTATGCCAGCTAACCCTCTCGGTTCCTCCCTTGAGATCCCCTTCCACTTTGGGGAGGCATTGGAACACCACGAGACAAACAGTCGATTGTGAGCTCCGGTGGTCTTCGAAGCGGCTCAACAATTGGTAGCAGAGCTCCGGCCGTCTTCGAAGAGGAGGAAGTGCGGCTCAACTTTCTGGGATATAAGCCATGCAGCCCATTGTAAGACAACTGACATTATGGCGGAACATGTTGCCTCCATCTTCATGGCTGGAAAATAAGCCAAGCAATAAACCAGTTTGAAAACAGTTTACAATCTGCTTTCAAACTGGTTTCTTGCTTGGCTTATTCTTCAACCACGACGATGAAGGCAACATGTTTCTCAAAATTTCAGTTGACTTTCATTTGCTAACATGGCGTTATTTCCCAGAAGACAGAACTCTTCCTCACACAGTGTTACAGCCCAAATGACTGTAGCCTTCAATTGCCTTTCCTGTTTACATTTATCTCATAGAGGTAAAAGGTAAAAAGGTAAACCTCTCCCTATAGCAGGCCGTGAAGGCCCATAGGGTTGTGAAACATCAATGGTCCCATATTTTCTCTAAACAATGGCTCACAGGTGGCAGTAAGGTTGTCAGCCTTATGCATCAGCTACCATTTACCCCACAAGGAATATTTCTGTTAGAGGCTGAGTGGAGCCGAGGGCCACAGTGCGGCTGGACGAATTACATAAATTGGAAAAATCCACCTCCTCAGGACAGGAACCCACGACCTTCTGGCTTGTAGCATAGTGCCTCAACCAACTATGCTAGTGTGTGCCCCCTATCTCCTAGGCTGAATCCTTTATCAGTTATGCAGAAAAGCCAATTCATTGGTAATGTAACACATGAAAACTGAACAGTTTCTTCGCCTCTTGCAGCCTCCATATGATTGTATCTTCTCACCTTCTATCTGGATGCCTGCAAGTAGCACACCAATTCCAATGCTGCAAGTATCAAAATGAACTATGCTGTGTGAAGCAGTACAAGTCCCATCTGAATTCAATGGTCCTAACTATAAAGAACTTCAAAAGAATAAACCCATTCACAAAATCCTGTACTTTTGCAAAAAGAAAATAGTGACTTAGAAAACTCCTTTGCTGAAATGCACACACATGCATATACAGTGCGTTCCATGATAGATGAAACCTGGCAGCAGCGTTGAGCGGATACAACATTTCTCACAGATTGCTGCCGCAAATGTCAATAGCAGAATGAGTCATTAGTGCTGTTAAACATGGGCCGTCAGGTGGTGTGATCTTGCTACTGCAGTATTATTATTATTGTTTGGAGGGAGTGGGTTTCCCCATGCACTGCGACCATTTGTTGATCTATCGTGCGTCCCCCTTTAATTATTTTAACTAGTCGCTATGTCCTTCCAGTACTGGTGCTTGCTATCAGCCCCGTTCTGCCAGTGAGGTTGGCCCTCTCCGGTGGTGGTCCCTGATACTTCTCCATCTACTGGAGGAACTGGAAACTACTTGGGCAGGAAACTTTGCCTAATTTTACTCACAGGTCTCCTAGAGACATGAGGATCTTTTACGTGCCGTAAATCTACGAAACGGGACACATGGCTTAAAGTCCCTCCCAGAAGACTTGTTCCCTGAATTTTTCCGCCCTTAAAAATTCCACGACCCGCGTACCTTGAGTCATAAGGTGGGAACATTACCCCTAGACTACGGAGGACGCAGTAAGTCGCATTAATAGTCGGTCTGTGTTACAAGTGTTGACAGATGATCAATATTTATACTGAAATGAAGTTCACTATTGAATAGAGTGTGTTTATTATTAAAACTTTTGCAAGGAAAAAACTTACAGAAAATGTATCCTTAAGTTTCGTAGTAAATATCCTCACTTGCCAGTTCCCACAGTCATGTGTATCCAAGCTTGTGAAAAAATGGCAGGACACAGGTTCAGTGTGTGACATAAAGAAGCAATTGAAGAGGATTCTGCTGACTGAAGAAAAGGTTCAGGGCATTGAGGCACATATATAGATCAGTCCTTGAAAATCGTTAAGACTCTTAGCACAGGAAACTGGTGTTTCGCTAGAATCTGCTTTCAGAGCCACAAAATTAATCAAGTTTCGCCCATATAAAATAACAATTATACATGTGTTGAAACAACCAGATTATGCAGAAAGAATTCGTTTTTGAAACTGGCTGCTGCAAAATGTGAACAATGGAATCATGAATCCAGTTTCTGTTCATGACTGATGAAGTGTGGTTTCATGTTAGTGACCATGTCATTGCACAAAATGTAAGAATATGGAGTGATGAACATCCTCATGCTATACAGCAAGTGCCTTTACACAGTGAAAAGGTGGGAGTGTGGTGTGCTGTAAGTTTGCGGCAAATCATTGGCCCCTTTTTTTTCACAAAACTGTGAACTCTGACCTGTATGTTAATGATATACTGAATCAGTTATTCCATCAGCTGACTGCTGAAGAAAGACAATATGGGTATCTTCAGCTAGCCAACACTACAGCACATACCGCTAATGCAACAATGGTCGCAATATGGGAAGTGTTTCATGACAGAATAATCAGCAGAGGACCATGGCCTCCCAGATTGCCAGATCTCAGTTTTTGAGATTTTTAACTTTGGGGAAACCTAAAGGGAAAAGTCTATAAGAATAATCCTTGCAGCACTGAAGCTCTGCAGAATGAAATGACACACATAATTGGTTCGATTACCATGAACCAACTTCAGAAATTGTCGCATAATTTATTTATGTGATGCGAGGCATGTCTGCAAGCAGAAGGGGTCACTTCCAGCACCTGTTACAAAGCACGGTAAGTTTGTGTTGTCTTTTTACAGTATTCTTATATGTGTGCATGTAGAGAAAGTGATGTGAGGGAATTAATGACGTGACTGCATTCTCACCAGTGGGGAAGGGCACAGCAGTCGCGGAGAAATGGTCCATCTGCTCTAGGCTGCTGTCAGGTTTCCTCCACAGTTGAACACTCTGTATAAAAAGTTTAAAAGGAAACTCTTGAATCTATGCTGAAGTTGTAGATGACTGGTCCAGAAATCATCTTTACACCATAAACAGTTTTCTTGAGAACCTGTTGTAGAAAACTTGCGGTAACACATACACACAATAAATGCCTGCTACTACTGCTACTGCAACAACAACATAAGTACAAACATTACCTATACATTTTGGCAGTGTCAGAAATGGCTGCAAGTGTCAACGTAAGGAGCTGCTGGGTGGCTGATACTGTGGAAGTTGATGCCTGACTAATCAAATATTCAGATGTAAGTTTCTGTGGTGATGGAGCCTGAAATAGAAAAAGAGGTATCTAGTTAACATAAATAACCTGTGGCATGTGATCTGTGGAAAGAAGAAATTGTTTTACTATTATTATATTACAGAATGCAAATACTTTTATTGTCGTTTATGTATATAAACTGCAATATGCTCCTTTTGATACAAAATATTGTCACCACAGTATTGCAATTAAAGTTATAATGATTCCTGACTGTATGGAATTACTGTAATTATTCATGTTCTAAATGTGGGAGCTTATCTACACATTTCATACAATTTAATATAAGCAGAGATTTCTTCTGGCAGTATACAACAGTCAAGGCACATACGTTTTCATACAAAGTGTGCACTGTTATTTTCATGATGATACCATCAACGCAGCTTTATTTTTGAAGATGGTTTCCATAAATGCAAAATCATTAGAGCTGTTTTCTAGCAAATGATAATTTTGTTTCTTGGTGCCCATTTTAAGGACCCCATTTTTTGGAGCTAGAATGTTCTATTCACAGGGCATCAAACATGAACAGAAGCTGACAAAATCATCTGGATGCTAGTGAGGCACACAACATACAAACGTGCAGACATTCCAAAAACCAATTTTTTTATTCAGGGGGCCTGAAAGCATGTATATCACTGAAATCTTGAGATCAATTTTTCACTACTTTCTCTCACTACATACACTCATACAAGAAAGTAAAAATAGAGCCAGATTAGCTAAGTCAGTATAGTAACAAGGCTATGAACTATCCAGTATGTATGGAGGATTTAACAAAAGAAAATTTTCTTTGCAAGATCTGAAGCTTTCACAGCACCTAGTGTTTGACAGAATCTTCTCAGGCTGCCAGACATATCAGCTGATTAAAAATTACTGACATTCCAGGGGGCATCTCTGTACCCACCAACATGGTCTGATCAGACAGCTGACAGCCCAAAAAGATTTTATCAAGATTCCCTTTATTTTGTTATTTTATGACCTTTACTGCCTGCAAACTAGTATGGAGAGGTATTCTTTGTTATATGTGTGTTTGAAAAATTGTGATTTCATTATAATGCAACTGACTATTTTAGACAAATTTTAATTAATAGTACTTGCTTTAATGTGAAATGTTTGCTGGCTGATCAAAAGACAGGGAGCAGGTGACTGTGGGAGTAGCAGAGGAGGAATGCAACAAGAGAAGGTGGAATCTGGTTCAACCATACCTCTTCTGCACATCTACTGTTGTGTGAGAAAACAGAGGCTGGGGTACAGCTACAAACAGATGACTTCTTAAATAAATCACAGCAAGCAGGTCCACCAAATACAGTCAACTCTCGATTATTCGGGGGCGGATTAACCGGTTTGCGGCTTAACCGGGGCTTTTTTTTTTTAAGTTTACATGTTGTTTAATATTCATTCACTTTTGTTTCACATGGTGAGTTGTAACACTATTTTCGCACTAGTGTGAACCGAGCTCTGCATTATTTCGTCCCGTTATGCAAACACAATGTTCTAGGGTGGGGGTGAAAGAATGCAAGAATTTTTGGAAAGTTTCAAGGACAAATACACCGCCCCAGGTTATTTAACGGTACCATCTCAGTGTGAGAGTGCATTGTGAAAGTAAGTATCAGTTTCTTAATATAGATCTTCAAGTGCGTTAGCAAAATGTCGGGGTTTAAAAGGAAGCGTGTTGTGTTAAGTATTCAACAGAAACTTGAAATTATCAATCAGCTGGAAAAAGGAGCTGTAGTTAAACAATTAGCAATGCAATACGGTATTGGAGAACAAACTGTTCGTGATTTGAAAAAACAAAAGAATGAGTTAATTTCCTTTGCTTCGTCTTCTAATTCAAGCGGAATGAAGAAGAGAAAAACCATGAAGAAATCAACATACGATGATCTCGACAAAGCGATGCTGACCTGGTTTAATCAACTAAGGGCACAGGGAACAACAATAACAGGACCAGTTTGTGCTAAACAAGCTAAATATTTTTTCGAAGCACTTGAACTAGAAGGGAGTTTTGACGCTTCTTCCGGTTGGCTAACACGTTTCAAGCAGCGTCATGGAATACGAGAAATCAGTATTCAAGGTGAGAAATTGTCAGGGGACTTGTCAGCATCAGATCAATTTTGCACCAATTTTGATAGTTTTGTGAAAAGTGAAAATCTGCTGCCAGAACAAATCTATAATGCCGATGAAACGGGTCTTTATTGGAAATTTGGCTTAACCAGGTTTTCGATTAACCGTGACTTCCATCCCCACCATTAGCCCGGATAATCGAGAGTTGACTGTACCATCAACTTCAATGGCCATACATATAAAATTCAATGTTGGTGATTTTTTTAACCAGTTCTGTACCATAACAGTCACTTACTTCATCACTGTCTTCAACAATTTCCTCATTCAGCTCAATGACTCTCGCAACAGATCATCCACCCATGCACATAGCACACCTTCTATTATGAGATCAATGAAATGTTAACGTTCATTATCCACTTCTGAACTGTTTGTATTCTAAAATCTATTAAATAATGTTAAAAATATATCTTTTTGAAGAGTATCTAAATGTTTGAGAGAGAGAATGTGTGTGTCTATGTTTATACCTTCAAATAATAAGTAAGATCTTTACAAGTTCTTGCACTACAATAATTTCGGGTTAATATTGAACTTTGTTAGCAGTATGGGCAAATATAAAAAATATTCACTTTAATACCTCTATCAGTTTGTCATTTTCTTCCAATGGAGAAGTACAATGTGCTACGGAAAAAAAGAGAGATGCCTTCACACAATGTAATACACTTCTTCTGCAATTATTTGAGGGCCGTTGAAATGTGAACTGAAACAAAACAATTGCTATATATCAATGATCTAGAAGCTGGCAATGAACATGGGAGACCATCGTTTTTTGCCGATGATACTAATATTCTTATAACAGGAAATAGTGCTAATGATGTCCAAAGGAAAATAAATAAAACAATAAATGCACTCACAGAGTGGTTTGAAAGGAACAGATTAATTATTAATAAAGATAAAACAACAGCAATATCCTTTCATCAGCCTCAAAACGTACAAGTCGAATGCCCATCAATAAAGCTCTATGATACAGTCATCAATCATACAGAACATACAAAATTTTTGGGAGTTTGGTTGGATAAGAATCTAAGGTGGACTGCACATACTAAAAAACTAGCAAATAAATTATGTAAAATATGTTTTACCTTACGAGTGGTCAAAAGAGTATCAGGATTAGAGACTGTTCGCAAATTATATTATGCTTATTTTCAATCCTTTTTATTATATGGATTGATATTTTGGGGCAATTCAGGAAATGCAAAATCGATCTTTAGGTTGCAGAAGAGAGCTATTACAGCTATGATACAAATCCCGAAAACCACTAGTTGTAAACGCTATTTTAAATTGTTACATATATTACCTTTACCATGTCTATATATATATTAAATTCTAATTAACATAAAAACCAATTTGAATGTTTTCATAACCAATTCAGGAATACACTCGCATAATACAAGAAGAAGAGAGGACTTGTTCATAGTGCCATGTAATATGAGTCTATACATAAATAATTTCAATAATACTGGACTTCGTATGTTAAATCAGTTGCCACAATATATTAAAGAGGTACCAGGACTATAAAAGTTCAAAATGACTTTGAAAACATTCCTACTTGATCACTGTTTCTATAGTACAGACGAGTTTCTCTTGTTTGGGGGCAAAGCCTAGTTCTAATCACTTGTAAACATATATTTCAAGAATAATTAACTTGTAGATTTTAATATTAGTAATGTTACAGGAATGCCTACTGCTGTATTCTGTATTTTTTTCTTACAGGAACAAAATTAGGGATTTTGTGCCGGGATAGATGGATCAGGTCTTGAGGCATACAGCGGTGTCACGTGTTAAACGATTCTATCAGTTCTATTATTAGAATCATCAATGTATTATCATAGTATATTACAATATTATATCATTATATTATTTATTATATTATTATTATTTTATTATCATTATTATTATTTATTATTGTAAAGTATCTGACTTGTCCTATATCATGTATAATGATCCATGGATATGAAGTAAATAAATAAATAAATTTATGAATTCATCAGAACAGTGTCTAAGAGACAAACTGTAAATGATAAAATAGGCAAAACATCACTGCTTATAAAAACATCATAATTCCTGTTTCTAAGGAGAGTCAGGAATAATGTGTTATTAATTACACACTCACCTGCACAGGTATGTATGCCCATGCATGCACACGCACACACACACAAAAGGTTAATCAAAACTTCTACGCCACAACTCAGTTCAATAAATTGGTGTGAACAGTATGATGAGATGAAGAATACAGTCCTCTGGATTGTAACGCTGTGTAGATTTTTGACAGCCTGACATTCTGGAGGAGCACACTGTCTCCTCCTGTGGGGTCAGAGAGCTGGCCAAGCTAAGATTGCCATCTGTTTCTGCTGCTTTCTTGGCTTGCTCTACAACACTAAAGATTGATTGATGTTGTATGTTCCCCTGAAGGGTCAGGATCTTTCCGAATTGCATAACATTACAGCCCAGAAGACACTGCTCTGCACAGCCACTGCTGCTACTGCTACCTCAAATCCAACATAGTTAAATCAGTCATAAGGCTAACAAAAAAAAAAGAAGAAAAGGAGAAATAGTTTTGGGCTCTATTTTGTCTTATTGAATTTAACTCTTTTTTTTTAGTCATATTAATTATGCACTCTTAGCTGATCACAGCGGCTGCGCAATCTAAGATATGAACTGTCTTCTCTCACTTGAAAGCTGGGATCGTGGATTCAAATTCTACTCAAGGCATAGATGTTTGCCTGCATTTATTCTGTGTTTGTTGTTCCCTGTATAGGTAGCGGCCTTGTAACACGCTGATCCCCCATCCAAGGAGTCCTACCGATTGTCTTTGGATTAAGAAACTAAAGCGAAACAAAGCATTTCACAAATGCTCTATGGTTTGAAGTGGGAGCAACAGAAAGAGAGAGAGAGATAGAATTATGCACCCTTAATTTGTTCTATGTAAAATTTAAAAATTCGCTTAGTGGGGGGTGGAGTCCAACTGTGGCCACTCAGCACAGTAGCCACTGATTGGCCTATTGTACCCTGCCCCGAGTGATTATGATGGAGAATTTTGTGGAATGATGATTGGCAGGGGAAACCGAAATACCCAGAGAAAACCCGCCCCAGTGCCACTCTGTCCACTACAAATCCCACTTGATCAGACCCGGGATCGAACCCGGGCCACCGGCCAGAAGCCAGCGACTAACCGCTTGAGCTATGGCGCGTCCTTGTTCTATGTAAAAATAGGATACATGAATTAAATTACACATGCTGTCACAAATTTGGGGAAATCTGCCCATCCTCTCAATTTCTCGTTAACAAACTTTCATATTTGACTATGATTCTACGAAGAGCTACAAACCTATACAGCAACACTAACACTAGTTCAACTAATTCTTTCAGAGGTCTGAACAGAATATCGGGGATTAGGTACTATGGAAATGGAGAGGGGGTCTAGGATGTACCTGGGCCCACTGTTTTCTTCAAAGACAATCTAAATTTAATTGAAAATATCATTAATTTTGTCAGTATATAATTCTAACTGCTGCCACAAAGAAAAAATCTAAAAGAAAAGCAAATAAAAAGAAAGGAAAGAAAATGAAAAATCATATGAAGATGGTTTCAAGGTTCATACAAATTACTGGCTTGATTTTTACACTGCAGTAGACCCCCAGAAAAGTCTCTATACTAGCGCACAAAATAATAGAAAGATTAATAATGGCTGAAATGTAGTTCTTAAGATCGGTAGCAGGATTTGCGCTCTGTAAGGCTGAGTGTGGACATCTGTGAGAAATTGTAGAATAAATTATAAACAGAATGCGGGAAATTGTGGCATCTTGTATGAATGCTCTAAAATGGAATGGCTGTCAGGTTCTGTTGCTATGAAATGTACAACCTGTCTCCTAATGTTGTTACACATGTACTTACAAACAGCACTTTGACCAAGAAGATTGAGGCTGCATGCACATTCCAAACGTCGGCAACATCGCCACATCTACGGGCCGTAACAGCTCAAGAACAGAATTAACATCCATATGTACCGTCTCAAGCGTCACAAGCTTCCTGATTTTCTTAACCTCAAATCTTACGTCTTGGTCTCATTCGTCTCATTCATACTTCGCAACCTTATAATCATTTCTAGGCAGCTATAGCGGTTATAGCCATCTGATCATCGTATTACAAAGACAGGCCTCCAATTATAGACTGCACTGATCGCCGCACTAACAATTAAGATCGATTAAGATTTTATAGTAACAAGTCAGTGGGAATCGTGGATATCATCCTTTGAGTCGATGGTGGTGGTGAGGTTATAACACATCTGGTATAACAAATTTTCAGCATCATCGTGTAATAACAGACAATTCGGTACGGTTTCGATTTTCAAAACACTTACGGACTTAAATATAGATATTACACAAATTGTAGGTTGTAATATTTCGTGTGAACTTACCTTGTGAAAGTTTAAAGGAATTTTTGGCTGAAATGAAAACGACATACATTTGTTACCGGTCAGTGTTCGAAATAAAAATCTTGTCCATAGTACCATTGTTTTATAAACATGGTTTAGCAGTTCTTAATATCGGTAATAGTTTTTAAATTGTTTTCTTTAAGTGTCCAACCAACTTCGTAAGAAATTTCCGCCATTATGATTTGAATTGTCACGTGTTTATACATGGACTACAGCAGTGCTTACCAACGTTCTTATGGTTCTTATGTACTCGGTGCACAATTCACTGATGCCTATGGAGGTGCGGGCGCCACTACACACTACTACTACTACTACTACTACTACTACTACTACTACTACTACTACTACTACTACTACTAAAATTTTTCGAAAATATTTAACAGTACTCAGACGTTCAAAAATGCCTCTTGTCTTACAATTTGAATTAATATTAAAAATCGGCTCAATTATATGTGGTTACGGAGGGCGCCAGAAAAATACACCACGGGCGCCACGTTGGACAGGGCTGGAGTACAGCATTAACCAAAAACATTTGACCTTATGTGTAAAAAAATAAAAGTAAATGTACCCTGTAACAGGCCGTCGAGGCCCATAGGGTTGTGAGATGTTGAGGTTCCCACATTTTCTAGACAATCGACTTAAAGATGGCGGCAAGGTTGTCAGCCCTACGAGCCGGCCGCCCTATACACCCCAAGTATATTCCAAGAATGTTATTTTGGAAATGATGCGGCAAAAAAAAATTCATCCTAACTGCCTAGTGCCGAGTCCTTGAGAGACCACCAGTTCCTGAGCTACTCAAGAATTTCCAAAACATAAACTCACAGTTTCGTTGTCGTGTTTCATGTCCTGCTCCTGTCCACATCCTGAGCCAGATCAATGCAGTCCATTTCACTCCATTTTGGTTCTCTAAGATCCATTTTAATATCATCTTTCCACCTATGCCTACGTCATCCTAAGGGTATCTTACCTTCATCCTTTACCAGCAAAACAGTTTAGGCTAATTCATTTCTCCTCTTCTCTCCATGCTTGCTACATTCCCTGTCCTTCTCATCATTCTTGACATGATTATTGACATATTTGGCTAAGAGTATAAGTTATAAAGCTCCTCATTAGGTAGTTTTCTCCAGTCTTCTATTATTTCAACCTTGTTGGGTACAAATATTCCCCTCAGTACCCCGTTCTCAAACACCCTCACTTTATGTCCTTCCCTTGATGTCAGAGATAAAGTTTCACATCCACATAAAAGTATGGACAAATTATGGTTTTGTATACCGTAATTTTTAAGTTTTTAGATGGAAGATGAGAAGAAAAAAGTGTGAATTGAATGGTAACAAGAATTACCTTAACCTCATCTGCCCTTAATTTCTTCATGAATTCAATTTTGATTTGTACCGTAATTTTTTTTTATTTTCTTTGTGTTGTGCTTTATATCACTTAAAAGCCTTACTGGGTGAGAATAACTTTTATTATAATACAAAATAAAACGAATGAATATAGATCAATATTACCAACTTGAACATTTTTACATTACTAGATTCTCAACATTCCTCCTTAATTTCAAAAAGTTACAAATATGTTTCTCATTTTGCTCCTTTATTTCAAAAGCTTTTCAACATTATTAGATGTTTTACGAAGTTAAATTGAATAATAATTAGTAATTTTGGTCTTCAGATTACAGAATTAGTATTGTGGGACTGTCGTCAATACTCCAATAGACAAACCACACGAAACTGTACGATTGTATATATTGAATCGTTTAAAGTCAATATACAGAACACAGAATACACGTATAATATTGAAGCGTTGGCTGGCCTGTCTGGGCGGTGATGCAGTGCTGAGCGTGCCGGTAGGATTGACTGGCTCGGCCGGCTGTGGGTTGCGGAAGATGCGTTCGCTGAAGGCTCGCGGCAGCTATGTCAGTTGCCCGGTAGCAGAAGTGGAGTTGATCCCTCTAACTTCGTTGCCATTTCGAGTTGAACTGATTGCACGAGGGGGGGGGGGTCATGTTACAACTGACGGTCGGTCAGTCTGTTTGTCTTGGTGTCGAGCCCCAGCTGGGGCTCATGACCAGATATTTCTTTTCAATGAAAGTTACCGTCCTGTCCATGTGTAGCGCCCTCTCTGACGAGAGGTCGGGTCTGTCATCTGTCAGTCAGTCTGTATTAAGTCTATTGTCTGTATTTACATACATTTACAAATACACAATTAATCCTTACTTCTATGTACA